TGATTCCTGGATGCTTACTTCCATGACATCTACGACTCCGCAGCCAAGACTCACACGTTCGTATCTGGAAGTGCACGATCAAGGCAGCGTGCGACAAATATAGCATCATTGCCTAACTGCAAGCACTGTGATGGCATGGTCCCAGGCAAATTCGAGGTTGATAGCCCTTGGTGGCCAAGCATACTGGTGATCTGACAGCCCTATTCATCCTTCCTTGTGTACGAAGTGGCGAATCAGCAGGGGTACTTGCGGGAGCGTGGTGGGGAAATCTGGCCGGTACCCACTATCTTGCAGCAACAGCAGTCACAACCGACATAACGTAGGACTTGCAACGAGGGTCGCATGCGGGGGCAACGGCTAGAACTCGCCAGAGATCGCTGCTAGGTACATACATATATGCCAAAAATAACATTGTGTTATCCTGAGTTCCGGTTCTTTCGCGGGGCGAACATCGCGAAGAGAAGAGAGAGAAGGGGTCTCGGGAAGGTACAAGATGCACATGAAGGGCCGCTCAGTATTACGAGGACTTGCTACATGTGTCCAAACATGTGACTATGCACACAATTGTTTGATTGTCGCTCCATGCACACGTTAACTGTACATCACGACGAATGAAGTTGAGGTGTGTATGAAAGACGACCGATGGAAAGAAAAGCATCACATGGCGATGCAGCAATACAGCACCGGCACAGGGCGTTTTTCATGCAGGAACGGAGACTTCGTCATACCGTCACTAGCGTGCGCGGAAGGAATGGCGAGATTTGGGCATGTTGCCTACGTCAGTAATAATCTGCTTCATGTGTATTTCGAATGTCCATGTGTTGCATCATCAACAGCAGAACAACCATTTGAAAATATCTAGAGATGTTTTTTACTGCTTCAAACGTCATTGCTGCAGGCTGAAGGCCAATAATCACCGATGGAGGGCGGCAAAAATCCGCCTAATCACGCTTATGCATGAGCGACCATGTATGTACCAATCACGAATTACCACGGCAAGATTTCACCGTTCCCAGCGGCCAAAATTGACCGTGACGATACGACTACTAGTGAGTGAAAAACTATTAAATCCCTTCATGTTCTACTCAATTGACAAGGTTTGCTTCATATCGCTGCAGAATAGCGGTATAATCGTTATACCATTCCTCCAGCCAGCTTGTCGCATCAAACATACGTGTGGTAAAGCAACTCAGCGTCGGATCCACGACCTTCATGTACATGACTAGATTGCGCATTTTTAGTGCGCAGTCTTCGATGCGAAAACATTCTTTTGGTAAGCACTGCCCGTATGTATTTCCTGGGTCGGTCGTGGCTACCATAACGGTAACGAGCACGAAGAGCGTGTAAACAATGGTAGGTGCAAAGCAAAATGACGGCAAGTGAACAGCCAAAGCTGGATCCATCTCTGCAGCGGTGTCGAGGACTGCGTGGCAGTTCTGAACAAGGGCCTCGAGAGTCGCTCTGAGAGGAGCGATGATGTTGGCTGGCTTAGGGTAGTCCTTGATAGGAAGACGGCCTGGGATGAATGGTGCTGCAAACGATGCCTTGTTTGTGGGTGTATGTAGCACAAGCTCGTACAGGTGAACCATGGCTACATGCCACCAGACCTTTAGCGTGTGGGATGTTGTAAGGGCGGGTGGGATCTGAGCTGCCCATGCATCAAGTTTGCCCTTTAGCGTATCGATTACGGCATAGGTGTTGTAATCATTACCATCGACAAAAGTGGCAATTTGACAAAGACACAGATGGGTGGAGATCTCCATATTCAGCTGGGTGATACGGACAATCTGACAAAGCAGCATGTCGGAAGCATCTCCTTGGCTTTCCAGGTACAAAACACACTCTTCATGATAAGAATCCCAAGGGTACGGGTTAGGCCGGCGCGTGCTGATCGAAGAGCTCGACAATGCCACATAACAGGCTAGCCAGGTACGCCGTGCCTCGAGCGACCCTGTATCCTCATGCCGGCAGAAGTAAGCCACGGGAGAGGGCTGCAAAGCAAATCCTGCGATGCCCAGATCGATCGCCATATCGGTGGCTAGCTGCAGGATCTGATAGCAGCTCCCCTGTTGACCTCTCCGCGTACTTTTGTTCCAAAGCGTGGCTACGAGTAGCGCCTGCACGAGCTCAAGGGATCTCTGCCCCCTACCGATGACCTCTTCGCCCAGAATATGCATCGTTTCGCGCACTAGCTCATCGTGCGTTTCCATGTCTACGCCTTGCGCCTCTTGCGTAATACTGTATGCCATGACAGAGAGCAGTAAGATGGGAGCTTTTGCACGGAGATGGTCCAGGTCCATCGACAGGCGTACGACGGGCCATGCCGCTCCCGCTTGATGCGCATAAAGGTGAAGCAGGCGTTGTTGGTTGACAGGCGCAATGCGGGCGTCCAGGAAGGATAACACACCATCGTAGTGGTTGTCGGATAGGCTACCGGGCGATCTGCCTAGCGTTGTGGTGGTGATATTTCCAGGCGAACGACTCGGCGTAGGGCTGCTGGTGCTTTGACTTTGTAGCAAGTTGTTGAGTTCTTGTATCTGCGCCTCGAGCTCTTGGATACGATTGCGCTGTAGTCGCGGCGCTGCTGGAACACACTCCAGGTTGTTGCGCGTGCATCTTCCGCAGCTCGCTGCGTCAGGGTCACTGCTAATGTCGCATTTGATTTTTAGACGATGGCACTCTTCACAAGCGCGAAGACGTTTCCTCATGATGCTGTCTTCTAGCCTAGAGATGACAAAGGTTTTTGGCTGGAGTTTAGTGTGGAGATTTGTCAATGACAAGCTGATTTACGCCCTGGGAAAGGCGCGCTTGGTACATGACTGGACAAGGGTGGCTGTGCTGGAATACCAGTACGAAAGAAGCGTGGCAGTCGAGAAAGCCGGTATGTCGCCCGGATGACCGAGAACTATTCATTCGCAGCTTCATATGAGACGATAGAGTTGGAATCTCTTTCGAAGTTCTCACCGGTTATTCCGATCTCTAGACATGGTCTGGCGGCCTGAAATTGCAGGCGGATAAATTACCCATTTGGGCGCTATCGAGTTTGCTAAAAAATCGAGAGTGATAGCTTCACTGCACTGCCAAGATTCAGTTCATGGTATGGAACAATGGGTCTATTCAGACATGTACAGCATCGATTACTTGTGGTAATGTCGGTCGCAACAGCGGAGACGCGTTACTTGTTTAAGCGACGAAATGCGAATTCCACCTACTTCTCACACGATCGCCAAGTATTACCTAGGTAGCGTGAAGCACACACATTGCTCTCGTACCATATAAAGGCAGAAAGCAAGCACATGTATTGAACAAGCACATCGATGCACTCTCTGTTGAAGTAGCGAAGATATCTACAGCCTCCAGGACCCACTCAAGCTTCCCCACGTCCCCAGACGAAGCTTGTTCGGAACAAGCAACGCGTGCCAACCCCGCTTACCTAGGTATCCGCCATCAACCCATCACCACTCCGGGCACGCCTCAGCCGCGGCGTCTCCTGACGCGCCTGCCCGGGCAAAGGGGGCAGGTCATACCATGTCGCCACTCTTTGCGCCCATACTCCCCAGCTCACACTCACATCCGCGCCCCAATTCAACGATGAAGCCCAAGAAGTTTCTCTTAGATCGCTTACCTGGCATACGCTGGGCGCCTCACGATATACCATCAACCGAGTCGTCATCATCCAAGCCCAAGTCGCGGAATCCCTTTGCGCTGAAATCTTCCGCACCGCAACACGGCGCGGTGCGTCTGCGCAAATCAACCCTCAGTTTGACGTCTGAACCCGATGTCGAGGTTGATGCGCGGACGCACGCCCAAGGTCAGAGCATCTTCTTCGCGCGTTTGCCGATTGAGTTGAGGCGGATGGTGTATGAGTACGTCATGGGCGCAGAGATCGTGCATCTGACGTTGAGTACAAAGAAAAAGAGGTTTGGGCATTTTCTCTGCAATAGCGATGGAGACAGTAGGGAGTACATGTGTCGCGTGCTTGTATTTGGCAAGAAAGGCGCGAGGCTATATAGTGGTGGTGTGACTATAGCGAGGGTTTGCAGACGTATGTATGTATTGCCTCCCTCTTCTGACTATCATTACGACAGCACTGGGGAGACTGACAAAGTGCTGGGCCTAGGTACTCCGAGGCCATTCCATATCTTTATAGCGCGCATACCTTCTCTCTCCTTCACATCACGCATCTGCTCTACCTTCCCTCTTCCATTCCACAGCCACGTCTCGATTCGATTCGCACGCTACATCTGCGCTGGACCATTCGCGCGCTCCCATATCTGCGTCGCGGCCCTTCCAATCGCCTCGCATACCGCGAAGACACGGCCAACTGGGAGAAGAGTTGGGGAATAATAGCGAGCATGCAAGGGTTGAGGCATCTTCAAGTCATGTTGATTGATCCCAGCCCGCAGCAACTTTGGGAGGCTAATTGGGTAGAATTGGAAGACATTTTGCTAGACAGTGTGAGGGAGGTGAAGAGGCCACACGACGCTGTAGTCATTCTGCCGTATCCAAGTTGCAGGACGGACTGGGATATGGGGGACAGCACAGTGAGACTGAGAGTACTAGACAATAGCCTTGGTACTGGAGGCGACGAAGACTGAAACGTGTGATCTTTTTGGAGACGACAAAGCTCGCTATATTTCCGGTCAAGAATATATGTGGGGCATGTCGCTATCACCAAAGTTTCGATCGAGAACCAATCGTACGATGATAATTCATGTAACATGCAGCTTATGCCAAGGTCTTGTCATGCAGCCGATCGTGCCTGCGTTCAATCATTTGTAGTAAGTTCCCTGGGACGCCTGAACAGAGCTTACAAATATCTTCTGGGCACAGCTCCAGTGGCACAGTTGCTGCCGACAACAACAACAGAGGAATCCCTTGGGATATTCGGTCCACCTGGTTGATGTATAAAGGTGGCTGCGCATGGCATACACAGACCACAGTGTGCTACGCTTCTCAAAGTTCGCGGAATCTTGATCCTCATTCTGATTTCTCCCATCATGTCGCAGCTCCAGTACTTCGACTACCCTGGCTTCGGCGAGCGATCCAAGCGGGATCTCAATTACAGCCAGGCAGTTCGCATCGACAATCGTATCGAGGTATCCGGCCAAGGTACTTTCACTCCGTAGGATATGTTATCTTATTCTGACAGGCTCAGGTGGTTGGGACCGTACGACGGAGGAATATCCCGATGATCTTTCAAAAGAGGTTGACCAGGCGTTTGATAACGTCGAACATGCTATTTGCCAGGCTGGTGGAACGGGTTGGGACCAGGTGTATAAGACGCGAATCTACATTACTGTGCCCCTCGATGACATCGCGGAGCCGATCATCCGCAACATGAAGGAACGATGCAAGAAACACGGGCCTCTTATGACAGTTGTGCAGGTTGTAGCTTTGTACAAGACGATGAAGATTGAGATAGAAGCAGAGGCGCACTTAGGCTGAGTCGCATTTGGGAGTGGGACACCTGTTGCTCGAGTTCATATCTAGTTCAGCGTAGTCTAGGGAGATCTCAATGCCACACAGAGACTGAACAAATGAAATGTAATTTGTACAGCTGGCCAGTCGAAGCAAGAATCGCAGTGCTAGGTGTTCAACCTGTAGATGTCGTGGCGAAAGCTGGAGTCATGTGTTGTATCCTACATCATAGGTTGTAACTGTAAGGAAATGTGGGACAAATCTATGTAAAAGGCAAGCTGTCCGATAGTCTTAGTTGTTTCGTCAAGACATATGGTTAGCGCATTCTCGGACCTCATCGTCATCGCGGCTACCTGCTTAGTGGGGCTCGGACTGCGCCACAACCATTGCCCTATGGCAGCTTCCCCATCCCTTCAATCTCACGCAAGACTACCCCAGCATTCCGCACCAATATTCGGCAGCGACCACAGAAACGGCGATTTGATTCTCTGGGTCTGGCATTGCGAGGCTTTCTGTGGTTATCCACCCAGACGTTCTCGCGCCACACGATTCGACCCCGACTGCTAGCTGTCCTCGCGACTTGTTGCTTGACGCAACAATGCCGAATCGCTTCAGGGCTAGGTTGAAGGATGTTAGCAATCAGACGGGTATATGTCTACGGAAAGCAATGTGGCAGACCTCCAAGTGCATCCTATGGACAGTTTGCTCGCCTTGCATCTGTTGTTTACTGCTGTTCCTGCCCCATCGGCATGGTAGAACAAGACCTCCTCTTTTCGATATAGAACCGCCAATGATGCCTACCCCTCGCAGGCGCGCTCTTTCTATTTCGAGAGAATTGCAACCGAACCAATTGACGGTTGCTCAACCTCAGTCTACCTTCATCAATAAGCTACCTTTGGAGATTCGACGTATGATCTACGAAAAGGCCCTAGGAGAACAGCCCATACATACGACTGTATCAGATGGGAAGCTCATTGCTCGACGGTGCGATTTGAGAAACTGCACGTGTTACCTCAGGCCCTGCCCACCCGGTCAGAGGTTACATTTGGCACTCCCTTTGCTTAGGACCTGTCGACAGATGTAAGTCATACATCCAATATAACTGAGCATTCGCCTTGTTAGCATTAGACTGACCAGCTGATATTCTCAGCTACTCCGAGGCCGTTGAATATCTTTACAGAGCCAACGAATTTTTCATCTCTACCGACTTGGAAGACTTCCCAACAGCTGGTTATCTCTCCTACTTCTTCCAACCTCAACGCATCGCGCAGATCGGCAACCTCAACATTGAATGGGATCTTGACCGTCATCAGTATTTCAATCTCAACCTAATGCCTGACCATCACCGACGCGAGTGGTACAGGTCTTGGGACGGCTTAAGCAACATGACTGGCCTTCGCCGACTACACATCAAGTTCTACTTTTGCCTAGACCTTTGGCAGGGATGTTATGGCGAGTTCTGGGAGCAAAATAACGAGGAGCTACTCCAGCCCATCAAAAAGATCACGGCTCCAAAAGACTTCCTCATCACTCTTCCAAACTGGCAATGTTCGACCAACATTGACGTTGGTGAATCCAGATGCACTTTCGAACTGCCGGAGAGTGTTGACCTGGAAGGGAACGCGTCGTGACGCGTCCGTGTGCAAGGACGCTTCTCAAACGATCGCAATCATAGGAACGGTAGCTTCTCGGGAATAGATGCGAAGCGGTCTTGAATACTAATGAAATTTACTGAGAAGCTCGTTCCTTCTGGATTGCACCCAACATTTGACTTTCGGAACATCCACCAGATTTTACTCTCGTAAGCACTTCAGCGTACCCACAGTGTATCCATCCCTCAAGGTGTGGTGCAGTTTTATGTACAAGTCACTTGAATCCAACGTCTTCGGATGAAGGCTCTCACACCATAAACCGAGGGAACAGGAGAATCCCACAAGGGCAAAGACATTAGACCAGCTCTACCGCTTCTTCGGAGCACACGACTCCAAGAAGCAAAACGCTGCCAAGACACAACACGACAATGACGCATAAGAGACATGCACCCAAGCTCTCGCTAGCGGCTTGATCAGGTTTTGTTCCGCCCTTTGTACCAGCGCGCGTATCTTATCGCGTCGTTGATCAACGTGACAACTTGGCAGCTTGGCGAGCTAACTCGTCCTGAGTAGCTTTCCATAACCATCTCATCCTCCGCCAGCCTTTGTGCACAGCCAAGAGCTTCGAGCTAGGGTAGCTCCACCACGTGCAGTAGCTATGCAGCTCAGCTCGAACACCTCCAACCGTGCGGCGTGTGATATTTCGGCGTATTTGATCCATCCGAGGCATTGTATAGCTCTGGCGCTTCTCCGGCGCAGATAAGAAGCAAAACATGGCCGCCAGTATGCTTACGCTGCAGGAACCATTTGAATTCCCAGGTTCCCGGAAATCTCTGGGCTGATGATTGTCGCAATGCGCTCTTTCGTTGCTACCTCTGTCCTCCTTGGGCTTGCCTCCGCTGCTGCTGTACCAGCTATCGCGCCTCGTGGTGGAGACGGCTATGGTCATGGCCACGGGCACAAGAAGTTCAACGTGCAAGTAGGCGTCCGGCCGTACTATCTTGTCGATAACATGGACGATGGTCCGTTGAAGGAGAAGCTTGAGAGTTGTTCAGAGCAAGAATTCAAGACCTCGGACTTCGTCTTCGCGCATCGTGGAGCGCCACTTCAGTTCCCCGAGCATACTCTCCAGAGCTACAAGGCCGCGCACCGTATGGGTGCCGGCATAATCGAATGCGATGTTGCCTTTACCAAGGATAAGCAACTCGTCTGCCGCCACGCCCAATGCGACTTGCACACCACAACCAACATCCTCAACACTACACTCGCCGACAAGTGCACCACACCGTTTTCGCCCGCCACCAATGGCACCGCTGCATCGGCCAAGTGCTGCACCTCGGACATCACACTGGAAGAGTTTGGTACCCTTTGCGGCAAGATGGATGGCTTTAACCCCAACGGCACCACAGTTGAGGAATACATGGAGGGCACCCCCTACTTCCGCACCGATCTTTACGCTCAAGACTGCCCCAAACTCATGACAGTTGACGAATACATTCCTTTGGTGGACAGCTGGGGCCTAAAGTACACTCCCGAGCTCAAGACACCCGAGGTTGAAATGCCTTTTAATGGATACACACAGGAGCAGTATGCTCAAGACTTGGTTGACAAGTTTCGCGAGTACGGCATCGATCCAAGTCGCGTGTGGCTCCAGTCTTTCCTTCCTGACGACGTCTTCTACTGGATTGATAACGAGCCTGAATTCGGAGTACAAGCTGTGTATCTCGACGAACGCGTTGATACTCCTGAAGGTTACGCCAACGCTACGGCTAGCATTCCTGAACTTGCTGCTCGCGGTGTTAAGATTATGGCCCCTGCTATGTTCGCTCTTACCAAGGTGAATGATGCGGGTAAGATCGTCCCATCGGAATATGCCATCGCTTGCCAAGAGCATGGTCTGGACATGGTCGCATGGTCGTTCGAGCGCTCTGGATGGCTGCAAATTGAGGGCGGTGGATATTACTACCAGTACGTCGCCAACATTACGAACAATGATGGCGATATGTACACAGTACTTGATGTGCTTGCTCAGGATGTAAAGATCTTGGGGATGTTCTCGGACTGGCCAGCCACAGTCACTTACTATGCCAATTGCTTCGGGTTATAGGCGGTAGTAGAGCCTTATATATAGACCTTGAGGGTAATGGAGTAGTGATACAGTATTGAAGATACTATCGACTCAAGCAATACAACCAAAAGTACCTGCAACTGTGATCATTCTCCCTATCTAGTACCGTTCCAAGCGTTGATTATGGCAAGCAACTATACAGTAAAATCTCATAACGAAGGAACAATGGAGAATATGAAGATTACAAGCATTACCACTTACGTAGTTACAATATTAATCCAATCTAACACATTCAACACTAAGTCACCATAGTAGTGCAAACTTCGTAATAGGCAACCTGGCGAGGCTCTCGCCTTTCCCTCTGCTTCCCTCTACTATATTGTGACCTCCTACACTGATAGCCGCTGCGCGGTCTGCTGGATCCAAAGAATATAACATAAACAGAAAGATGGATTGGGAGTCCTAAAGTATGCTAATCCATGTTTTACTGGGTCGAGACGGGCTCAAGAGCTTTCCTGTCATCGTGATAGTTCCAGACCGAGCGTGAGCGAGAATCATGGGGGCATCTGATACTCCAGTCTACGCGATGGCCGAGATCAAGTACGTTACAAGGGTAGCTCTTGTGGAACGGGCTGTTTCTGATTTTCCTTGATAAGAAAACCTTGGAACAACGCTGCTAGTAGGTGCAACTACTTTCGCTTCTCGGAATATCCTTGGATAAATCCAACAAGGGGGATCAGGTTAGGCTCCAGGAAAGTCTATAATAGATCTTGTGAATGTGTGCAGTATTTGTAGTGCAAACAACTCGCACTGAGAGTCTGATCTGTTTGCTCGCCGCTTTACTTATCGTACACGCATCACCCTAGTGTACATAGAGACTAACAATAGATGCGTGAGACTTCCAAATCCAAGTCATGGAGAAAGGATCAAGACAGAGAACACCTAGGAACATTCAAGCCCCGTGCTTAAGATACACTTAGGTGAGATTTGGAAACGCCGATCTTACAGCTTTTGTTCTTTCTAGATATCAATTCTTGCCATAGTCAAACTCCACCAAAGCACATACCACCTACGTCTTCGACTTGACGCTGCCAGGGGTGAACGACGGAGCAGCAGCATTCAACCCTCTAGAAGGCGGTGGCTTGCTTTCGTTGACTGACTGGCTAATCGCAATGCCCCATACGCGCCCATCAGTGGACTGCTGTGTAGTTGCGCCCCATTTCTGACCAGTTCCAATGCCTGTGACCTTTCGCCAGTCTTCAACGTTGTTGTTTTCGGACATCTCAATTGTTTCGGATAGAAGAGTGTGAGTGGGCAGGCGTTGTAGATTAGTTCGATTGTAGCGTGTGGCTGTTGAGTATATACAGTTCAGGAAAACGTACTTGAACGCAAGATTGGGGGTACAATGTACATGGTCAGTGTGTGGATGAATACGAATTCCATCTATTATGGAGTCCAGGGATGCCGTAAAACGCACTATTCACAGGTGTAAATGCGTGGAATACAATGATTAAGAGGCGTTAGGTTTTGACCACTCCAACGTTGTGTGTATGTGCGCGTGCGTACGTGTTTGATCATTGAAGTGCAATTTCTCTGTAGCACCTATGGTGTGCGTCGAATGAGGACATTGCTTGACTAGGATACGTCCTTGAAATGTCTGCGCTCTGGCACTCTGTTCCTGTATCCTTCATATCTGCTGTATGTGCTTTATATAATGTAAAGATACGTATTCGTGCGCAGGTGGGGACATAGTGCGAGCGGCGTAAGCTTTGTCCCGCTGGATATCAGCTTGCCAGTAAAGTAGCATGACGGTATTCATACTAACTCTCCTCTAGGGTGCCTCCGAGTGTCGTATAGAATACCTTCTGGCTTACTTGTTCCGCAATGCACGCTCTTCAAAGTCCCGTATAAGTGCTTCTGCTGCTGCTGCATGTTTGGATTTCCCCTGCTCTAGAAGCCCGTTCTTGTACTTGTGCAGTTGTTCCATAGTCTTTACAGGAATGTGAGTCTCTCCCCTTGCCACATCGACTGAGCTTAGCCAATCATGCATGTAAAACTGCTTCTGATGCTTCCCGTCTTCTGTTTCAGGTAATCCAGACATCGTATCGAACAATATGTGGCTTAGAATGCTTAGAATGAGATATTCCTTGCTGTAATCGAGCGAACATGGCCTGAACATTGCTGCGACACATTCGACTTCTCTGAGCATATAGTCTCTCTTCTGCGCCGGTGATGCATCCCGTGAAAATTTCCATTCCACGCGGTGGCCATTCTTTATCGTAGTAGTCACAAATTTGTAACTGACAGTATCCAGCCAACTGAACGCCATGTAGGGGGCGCAACACAGTCTTCTCCCCTTCTGTCAAGGAGGCGAATGACATTGCTTCCTGTTCAGCCATAACCGTTCGCTTCCAGTGTCGCTCTGCAAGCATGGGAACATGGACTAAAGACTTGTTGAAATTCGGGTCGTCGTTAAGTCCACGCAAAGCCACAGCCTCCTCGTAACGAGACCTTTGTATAGATGGCTTTTGTTAATCCATATTCAGTCCCAGGAATGGACAAGCCAAATACCCGGCCCACGTTCCTGTAGAAACGACTCCGAGCCTTCCAAGCAGACGTTTTCCAACTGAAATACTATTCCAACCCTTCATCCTAAAGGAGATGAGTAGGCCTGCAATTCCTCCGGCAAGCATAGTATCGTCGCCCGTTAAGCCGTGGCTGCTCTGCCACAACTGGTATTTGGGCGGGGTAATGCCTTCGTAGCGAAGGATCATTTCATCCAGCTGACATTCACAGCGCGTCAAGTAAACCATCGTAGGTACGCTGATGACTGTACCAAGGCCTGCTCTAGTGAAGAAGTACGCAGATTTTGTCGGCAAACTCAGCAATGGTCTTTTAACAACAGTCCGACACAGAAGGAGAGTAGTAGCAATTATCGGGGGTAACATGACAGTTGCACATAGTTATTTGC